GAGATAAAAACAATTTATATATGATTATAGGGTTTGGTTTTTTTCTACTGCACAATACCAAGATTCTAAAACGCTTGTGGACCGGGGTTACTGTAGTTGAACTCAGAGTGCCTTTTGAAGTTACCATCATGTCTCTGACCAGTAGAGCAACAAACTCTACTGTAGGACACAATACATTTCAATGTACTTCAGTGTCTGAATTTCTTTTAATGTAACTCTTTGCTTTTCAGAGGGTTACAGTGGAACTTTGTCATGCATTAACTTTAATGGGAGTTTTTGTGCTTATGCTCCATCCAGTACCTGAAAACTTTAAGGATTATTGCAACCAACTACTGAGCTAAGTAGCTACTGAAATGGTGTAAAAATATTTCCTTTTGAATATTATGTTTAAATTGGATATTAAATATTAAATACTGGAACTGTCATATTTTTGTCATGCCTGTTATTTGTAGCTATTTACAAAGAGAGTCTACATAAAATTGCTTTGATGTCAGCCTTTGAAATGTGTAATAAGATTTATCTGTTTGAATTATTGTGTGGCAGAACTTTTTTTCCCTTTTAAACTCTCATGAGAAATCATGGTAATGTTTCTTGACAGTAAATTACACTATTCTTATTAGTCTAGTACTGGTTTTAAAAAACAAAGAAACGAGAATTCTTATGTGATGAGAAACTGTTATTTCAAGAAAAGTTGTTTCCATCCAATGTCCAATGAAAACATTGATCTGTAATGGAACAAAGTTTTGGAAAGGATTTCCCTTATGTTTCATTGTCCCAGGATTTCTTATTAATATCAAATAGTTAAACGTTCCTGATCTGAACTTTGCCAGCATTGTTGAAGAGAGCTGTGACATTTCCTGTTGTCTCGGTTCAGTGTCGGTCTGTCCCTCTGCACTGTCCCTGTGTGTTGTGGGGTTTTTGAGTTCAAATGCATCCACATTCTGTGCTGTGGCCGAGGTACTTCCTGATGTTCCGTTCTTGCACTGACCAAACCAGTCAGATGTGGGCCTGATGGGTCCTGGGAGATGCCAGAAGGAGCTCAAACCCACAGAAGGCAATAGAGGTGTCAGTTCTGTACTCATAAGACATTTAGAATGCTGCCAGTCTGTGCATGCTGCATGTTCAGAGCAAAGGGAATCAACCAATACATTTTGTAAAATCTATGGCTTCTACAAAGGTAAGCGCCTGATTTTTTGGAATAACTGCTTCCATCAAGAGCAGTGTGTATTTCCAGGTAGGTTATGATGTCCTGGAGGACTCTGCTGCTATTCAAATGTTCCTTGACAGGCAAGAGAAGGAGCTGAACTAAACAGTTTTAAGTTTAAAAGGGGTAAGTTTGACTTGGTATTCTGTCTGCGCTGGAATAACCCCATGCAGTAGCACTAGGTGAAAAAACATTTTTCAGGAAAGGAGTGGGCATCCTGTTCCAAAGCAGGCTGACCAAAAGCCAGAAGTGTGCCACTGTGGCAGAGAGGACCAACTGCATCTGGGGCTGCACTAGTAAAATGAAGGCACCAGGCTGGGGTATAAGTTTTCCCTTATCTTCAGTAATTATAAGACCACATCTGGAGTTCTGTGCCCTGCTTTGGACACCCCGTAAAAAAAAGACTGACACACTGAAGTGAGTCCATGATGCCACCATGATCAGAGGGCTGGAGCACAAGGGGTGGGAAGAGAGAGAACAGAGTTTGCCTGACTTTAAGAAGAGAAAGCTGAGGGAGACCTTTCTACTGTCCTGAACTATCTAATGGGGAGGGTACACTGGAGATGGAGCCAGGCCCATCTCAGAGGGCACAGGGATAACAAAGGGGCAAGAGACAATTTCTGTAGAAAATTTAGATTAAGAAAAAATTGTCACCACACAAGTGTCAGAAATAGGAACAGAAGCTGAGAAAGGTTATAGAATATTCATCCTTGAGGATACTAAAAACTCAACTGGATGTGGCCCTGAGCCACCTGGTACTAATATGTTTGCTTTGAGCAGGGCTTTGCTCTAGGTGACCTCCAGAAGTGTCTTCCGCCCAACATGATCATGTGCTCTCTGACCCTCATCCTGCAAGTGCACGTGCCTGACAGTTGTCCTATGGCTGTAGGACAGTTTACATGAACTGCATATGACAGTTCTACTACTCAATTGGGAAACTTCTGATCTGCAAGTATTGAAATACTTGCAGATCAGAGCTTTGCTATGAGTTTAAGGTATTGGGTTGAGATGTTTGGTGAAACAATTCTTGCTGTAGTACTCTTGTGTCAAAAATCAAACAAATAAGCTGCTTGGTTTGCTGCAACACCTCTTCTTCCAGCGAGGCTGTTTTTCAGCTGGATACCCAGTTTTGTCTGTGAATAACTAGTAATGGAGTAAAGTACATATTCTTTTTTTTATAACTAATCTGGACTCTGGCTTCAGCAACCTTCCATCTATATTGCCTTTTAGATCAGGAACAAACACTTCAAATCGACAACAGAATGGCTTGTACTTGAAGAGGAGATTAGTGCCTTGATGTGAAAAAAGGAGCTGGAGTGGAAAAGTAATATCACTGTGCTCTCACATCCCATCTGTCTGCTGAAGGTGTTGGTGACAGTCTGTAATCCACATTGTTTAAACTGTAGAAGCCACCAAAGACTTCACAATACAGTACTCTGCCAGGAAAAAGCTGTCTTTGGTGAAATAAATACAGCCCATGGGGAAAGAAAGTCACAGAGGCAGGAAACTCAAAGTAATCAAACTGGAAAAGGAGGATTTCTGTTGCATATGCCAAAACACAGCAGCCCTGGACATAAGCAAACTTTTTTACTCTTTGGATTTGCCTCTAGCTGTAATCTTGGTGTCTTCATAGCTTCCCTCATAAAATTGCACTGTGTGTGCCTTTAGTCTTTCCTCTTATCATCTGGGTTGCCATCCTGTGTCACAGCCCCAGAGTCCCTGCTCTGGGGTGCAGCATGACAGTAACATCCTGTACAGTCCCATCTCCTCACTGTCTCTGGGTCAGTTTGGAGCTGTTGTCCTTTAGGGCTGGGCTGAGTGCTGGTCACCAGTCATGTGCTTGAGCCCGTGGCTCCTGCAGTAGGATGTGGCTGATGTCTGGTTTTCAAAAAGATTGGAGACGAGTTCTGTGCTGATAAGGTAAGTGATTTCTGTGCTAAAGCAATTTTTCTTTCTTCCTTTAATCTTTCTTAATACAGCACTGTTTTTTTTTTTTTTTTTGCTGTTCTAGAAACCAGAAAGCAAAAACTGCTCTAAAGGCACATGCAATTCAACACATGGATTTTTCACCAAATACTCAAGTAGTTAATTTCTTTTAAATGGAGAAGCAGGAATTGTGGTGGTAAGGCCTTATGTGGTGAGGAAGATTTCAGACTCTGAGCTGGGACAGCATCCTAGATTGAAGAATAGAGAGATCTGCTCCAATTCCAAACCATTTAGGAAGGTACAGAGCCTAGCATTTAGGTCTTCTCACAGTACACAGGTAACTCTAGGAGAGGGAACAGAAGGAATAATAGGTTCCTATATGATGTGCAGAGCCATTGATTTTTAACAGTACTTGAAATTTTGCTTTAAAAATTAATTCCCCTGTGGAAGACTTGGATCTTACAGGTATGAAAACAGAGCCAAAGGTGTTTTGCCTGAATTTTAGAGGAAATCAGCAATAGATTTAAAAATCTATGTCTGCCTCCCTTTCATTTCCTTGGGTTCCTGTGTTTATTCTTGTGTTAATACTGAGCCATTTCAGCTTCATTCATTTCTCACACTTAGAACAAAATTTTTCATTTATAAAGAAAAGCTGGAGGAGCTTGAACACAAGCTGATCATTAAGATATGAATGTATGTTTCAGGGAAGTAGAGAGTCTTTTGGGAAAGAGGAAAGTCAGCTTACTTCTGAAGATGCAGCACGGTCTAATAGTTCATTCCAACTTCCTTTCTGTGTATGGGGGTTTTTGTTTAATACTTTCATGAGCATGAGTATCTCTGAGTGTCTCACAGTATTCCCTCTGGTCAAACCAAAGGATGGACCACACTCTTGACGTAATGGATTGCAGTGAGCATCCATGTGGCTGATGTCTGCATCTGGTGAGTGAATATAGTGCATGTGTGGGTTTTGGCATATTACTCCTTTTATAGATGCTCTTCTCACCCTTTCCCCCAGTTTGCGTAATGGTTTAGAAGTTGTGGCTCCAGCCACTGGAGCTTTCTTACAGTGTTTGGGGCCTGGTCGATGGCAAGTTGGGTATGAGTCAGCAGTGCCCTGGCAGCCAGGAGGGCCAACCGTGTCCTGGAGGGGCATCAGGCACAGCATCGCCAGCCAGGCGAGCGAGGGGATTGTTCTGCTCTGCTCTGCACTGGGGTGGCCTCACCTGGAATATTGGGGCAGTTTTGGGCTCCACAATATAAGAAAGATATAAAGCTATTAGAGAGTGTCCAGAGAAGGGCAATGAGGATGGTGAGGGGAGGTCATACAAGGAGTGTCTGAGGTCACTGGGTCTGTTCAGCCTGGAGAAGAGGGGACTGAGGTACATTGCAGATACAAGTTCCTCACGAGGGGAAGAGGAGGGGCAGACACTGATCTCTTCTCTGTGGTGGCCAGTGACAGGACCCCAGGGAATGGCCCGAATTGTGTCAGGGGAGGTTTAGGTTATATATTAGAAAAAGGCTCTTTATCCAGAGGGTTGTTGGGCACTGGAACAGGCTCCCCAGGGCAGCGGTCACAGCACCAAGCGTGGAAGAGTTCAAGGAGTGTTTGGACAACGCTCTCAGGCACACGGTGTGACTCCTGGGGTTGTCCCATGCAGGGCTAAGAGTTGAACTCAATGATCCTTGTGGGTCCCTTCCAGCTCAGAATATCCAGTGATTCTGTGACTGACCAAGGAGGCCCAGCAGCGATCACTTCCCCTCAGGCCCTGGGCTCCCACCGCCCCCGCGGGGCCCGTTCCTCCCTGTGGGAGCGCAGCGGCCGCGCTGCCCGGCGGGGCCGGCAGGGGGCGGTGGCGCTGCGGGGCCCGGCCCCGCCGCCTCCGGTCACCTGAGCGGCCCTTCCGCGGCGGCGGGGCCGGGCCGAGCTGCCGCCATGCGGATCGAGAAGTGCTACTTCTGCTCGGGCCCGATCTACCCGGGCCACGGCGTCATGTTCGTGCGCAACGACTGCAAGGTACGGCGGGGCCGGGCCCGCTCCCCCGGCAGGCGGGGGGCTCGCGTGTTCGCCGTCCCCCCGCGCGGGCGGTCACGGCCGGGTCCCGGGGCCTTCTCCCTGGGCCGCAGCCCCCGCACGGGCCGGGCCGCGTTCGTGAGGCGCTGCCGGGCCCGCACACACCGCCCGGGGGTGTCGGCGGGGCGGCAGCCTCGACCCGGAGCGATGCAGCGCTTTGGGCGTCGGGAAGAGTGGGGGATGAATGATATTTGTTTTCGGTTCTTAGTAAGAAATTAGACGGCTCGCAGAGCCATATACAATCCTCATCCTTTAATAGTCTGATTTTAGGGAAGTGTAGGTTCAGGTAGGAGCAGGTTGCACAGCTCTGAGCAGCCGAAGTTGCAGAGGGAGGCCGATGGTCTGTGTTCCTCGTGGTGCTCTGCTAAAAGTGCTGAAAGTCGTAACTCGGGGATCTGATGTGACTCACCCAGCTGAGGCTGTCACAACAGGCCGTGCATAGCGCTCTGGGCTTTGCACTGCGGTGACAATTCCGTACATAAAACGCTGTGTATAGTCTTCCAGCCTTTGCCGGAACTCGCCGTCGTTCCTGCGGGGCGTTGGAGACCCCAGTGTGAAGTGAAGCTTGCGCAAACAGCTTCCTCCCTGTGCTCGGGCGTCCGAACACATCCCGGCCGGGCTGCGCTGCTCGGATGAGTCACGGCTCTGGGGAGCTCGGAGCTCGGTGTGCACTGACACAGCTCCGTTTACTGAAAAGGGCCACGAGGTGTGTGTTTAAAAAAGATACCACAGTGGCAGGTTAGTTGTGAACAGATAATCTGTGAAAGGGACAAACCTGCCGTTCTGTTTCGCTGAGCTGAGGTGAAAAAACTTGGTAGAAGAGTGTAAAAAAAAAAAAAAAAAAAGTTCTTTGAAGGTGATCACCTTAACTAGGGGTTTCTTATTTTCTGTTAATTTTCTTTAGAAGTGACTGTTAGGTGGGAAGGAGAATATGGTTTAGGAAAATAGGGTTTTCAAAAATTCGCAAGTAACAAATGTAGTTTTAAGTACTCTTAAGTAAAGAATCTGGCATTCTGTAGAATGTGTGGAAAAATAGAGAAAGAAGAAAAAGTCCAGTTAAAACATTTTAACATATTCTTTAACGGCTTTCAATGAATTCACTCCAGGACTTAACTAATGTGCTTAGAACTCCTTTGAGGCTTAAAGCTGCATTCCAGAAAATAGAATTTTTTGTGTGTGTGTCTGTTGCATTCAGTATGAGAGGTGTGATGATTTTTATTGTCAGAATGGTGCTGTATCTAAAAAGTGCTGGCAGCTATATAAAATTGTTTATTCATGCTACAGGTTTGGTTTTATGGTTATTTTTGCAGATGATAATTCTCACAGCTCAGGCATATTTTATTTATAATCAGTTTAATTGTAAGTATTTGTACATATCCCTGGCAGCTGTGAAAATGACTTCATGATGAAAAAACAATAATAGTGCTTGAAATTATTTTTGTTAATAGCAATATTTGCTATAAGAATACTGATATTTGAAAGAGGAATATAATTTCCCATGAGTAGTATTGTTAGAGCAAGCTCAGTGTTTGTTACCATGTTTGCAATGGGGCACTAATAACATGATTTAACTAAGATTTTTTTTTTTCACTTCCCTTCTCTAAGATATTTAGATTCTGCAAATCAAAATGCCACAGAAACTTTAAAAGGAAGCGAAATCCCAGAAAGATGAGATGGACCAAAGCATTCCGAAAAGCAGCTGGCAAAGAATTGACAGTGGTAAGAATTGGTTCACACTTTACACTGACACTATGAAATGGCAGAAATGTAGCCTCTTCCCATTGCAAATAGGCTAGGTTAGGTGGCTTAGTACATTACCATTTAATTAGATGAGCTGGAGGGATGGAAGAAGGGGAGAAAAGAGGGATTGTGGATGAGAATGTGAGAGTTTTTTGAGACTGAGCTATTCATTTAGCTTGACTGTAGCTTGGATCTTCCCATTTCAGCTTCATGGTGGAGGCCAGTATATCAGGTGTCCGTGTTGGTGGTCCTAGTAACTCCTAGTCCAAGGCATTTCTTTCCATCTACAAATCTTCTACTCTCTGTACCTATCCATTTGATAGTTTTATTTCTGCACAGTCAGATAATCTGGGTCAACAGGTACCCCAGGAAGTCTCTCAGTGTAGGCCCCTAAAATAGTTACCTTTTGAAGTGTCTTTAAAAGCATACAATGTATAGGAAAATTTGATAGGTAGGACTGTTTCAAAAACAGCATGAGATCTTAAAAGCAGTTCCAAACAGAGTTGCTTTGGTGGTAAAAATATTAAACAGTCACATTTGGTGGGACAGTCCTTAAATAATTTAAGAATTACTGTGATTTAATTACCTGGTTTTTGACAGAATATTAACAATTTAGTAAGCATTTTGGCACAGTGATTTACTGCCTTCTGTGGATCTTCCAAGGGGAAGAATGTGATTTTATTTTTTAATGTGACTCTGAAGAGCCAAGATTAATTAGCAGCTTTGGTAACTGTGTTTCTTGCTTTCAAGTTGTTTTTGGCTAACTTGAATTACCTTTCTGAAAAGAACTTGATTTAAAATTTCTTTATATATGTCTAAATAAGTGACAATATGCCCCAATTTTGACATGCATAATGAGCCAGCTTTGCATAGTGTCTAAATAGGCTTGTGATGATGGGAAATAACGTAGTTTCTAAGAAGGTGACAGGTAACTCTGCTTTACCTCAACAAAAAACAACCTTTGGGCAGGGAAAAGTCCTCAGATAAAACTGGTCTAAAGCAAAGTATGCCTAACAAAATAATTAGGAAACTGTTTTTCCGTCTTCAACTCATGGTGGGGGCATTAGGGGATGGCAGCTGCTCCAAACACCACAATGTCACCAATTGACATATTTCAAATTAATTTATATTGTTTCAATATTAAGATGAAATAGTGGTTGGGTTTTTTTTTTAACCTTTTTGAAATTGCAAGCTGTTGAGTAGAACTTATTTGACCTGCATTAAAATATTTCAACTCTGCAGGTTTTCAATTTTGCCTTCCACCTGTCTAATCTGTTCTGTATTTCCTGCTCCACATAGGTTTTCTCTGTCTCCTTGTCTTGCTAAATAGAAAATAGCTGAGGGAGACGTTTCAGTAAATAGTTCTCTTCAGACAAATCACTGTGGCTCCTGACTGACACTTTGAGGTCAAACTCTTCACTTGATTTCCTTCTAGTGTAGTTATCTCTAAAGGCTTTTAAAGTCTGGGAACTGAGGTTCTGAAAGGAGGGGCAAAAATCACATAAAATAGGAAGTTATGTAAGTAATGAGTGCTATAGTAAGAATGTGTTGGTCTAAATATGCCTCTATATATGATCTATATTTACTTTTTCTTAATACAGGATAATTCATTTGAGTTTGAAAAACGTAGAAATGAACCAGTGAAATACCAGAGAGAGTTGTGGAACAAGACTGGTGAGTCATTTTAGAAAAAAACAAAAGAATAATTTTTTACTCGACATGAATGTATTTTCAGGAGACTTCTTAGAGTATTCATACTTTGTTGTGATTGTGTTTGAAATTACTGGAATCATGACCAAATTCTTATGTGTGGAGGAGGTTTGAGTTGTGAACAGGTGTGGAGTTTCACTTGATGTTTATTCTTTTCAGAAAGTGGTTAGAAAATGAGAACCAGCATTCCTTTATTTTGAATTATTATCTTCAAAACCCCTTAGTGGTTCTCCAGCTTTTAAGAGGCTCCCAGTGTAAGCCTTTTACACTGTTGCAGTTGTTTCTTTGTTCCTGCTCATTCCACTTCAGTTTCTTTCATGGAATCAATTGCTGTGAAAGGGAAGAACTGCTTGTATCATGAATGAATGCCACAAAGGAGAAAGTGGTAACTTGCATCTGATTTCAAGTAGTGAAGAAGCTCAGTTGCAACTGAATCTTCCCTAGTGATGGTTAACTGTGAGAATTATGTGTAGGGAGAAAAGTGGAAGCATAAATAAGTTGTAAAATACAATTCATCGTAGTTGTTACACAGAATATTCCCTTATCCTGCTCTTTGAAGAAGGAATAACTTTCTCTGTATAGTGTAAGACTTGCCTCTGGTACATAGATGTTATGGAGTGCTGGTAGAGTTGCTCTGTAAAAATAGCATGTATTTTCATCTGCAGGTATGTAAGCAGATTTAAAACAATTTCTGATTTATTTCAGTTGATGCAATGAAGAGAGTGGAGGAAATAAAGCAAAAACGCCAAGCCAGGTTTATTATGAACAGGTGAGAAGTATTTGTATGGTGGGAGCTCTCACATGTCTGTATTAGGCATCCTTTCCACAAACAGGATGATCAAATGTTTTAAGTGGTTATTTGCTTTTTATATACACAGTGATGTGTATATTTATTTTACAATTGATGGGGTAAAATAGTTTGAGTGGGCTCTACTCTGCATTATTGGCTGTCAAAGCAAATGCAACTTTTAGACACTCAATGATAATAGTTAAATTTCCTTGTATATAATTCAGAGTCTTACATTTAAACAAATTTCTGATTAGAGTTGATACAGTGCTGGTTTTTTTCCTAGTTTTGTATCCAGTATTTGCTTGAATAGGGTTTCAAATACTTTTAACCTGTATTTCCTCATAGTAATAGTTATTCACAGCCTATGCCTTCCTTTAGCAAAAGATGTCATGCATTAAAATGAAAGTGTACATCTCATCTCCTCTTTTAAATTAATTGAATCTAAACTTCCCCTTCCCCAGATTAAAGAAGAGCAAAGAGTTGCAGAAGGCAGAAGACATCAAAGAAGTCAAACAGAATATTCACCTCCTTCGTGCTCCCCATGCAGGTAAGAACTTGCTTTACCTGGTTTCCATACACAGTTTTAGGATAAATGCCCAATTGTACAGATGAGTAATCCTCTGCATTTGTCTTACAATTAATTTGTTTACTGGTTATGGAGAATAGCTCTTGCCACTAACTGAAAGCAGTAGCTTTGTTCTGAGTCAAACATTCCTTTTTATTTATCTAGTACTGCATTCACCCTTGAGTGTTTTAATCTGCACCCAATACCTGGTGCTCCAAGAACTGCATGTTTGTTAACCAATGCATTTATCTAAGGCTTCCCTTTGAACTGATTGTGTGGACTCAACAGACTCTACCACTGATTGATATAAAATAGAGAGGTTCAGCTTTGCTGTTTGAATATGTCAGTTAATAGAGTAGGGTTTCTTTGTAGTTCACCGTGTGAACTTAATGAAACTTACATGAAAATGCTGTCTCTTGAGTAAATTAAGATTTTAAAAAAATTATTTACTTTCAAATTAACAGTTAACGGAGTAATGGAGAAAAGTTAAAAGTATTTCCATTAGTTCTTGTTTTATAAAAACTTACCAGTGATTTTGTTTCTCCATTATTAGATATTAACTAGAAGTTTCTTCTGTGTTTTTCTTCCAGTTTGCAGTATCTGTAGTCTAAGGTTGCATATATATATATATATATATATGTATATAAGACAAGATCTTGTCAGGATACATTTAAACTTTGTTTTAATCTGTCCCATTTTTTTTGAGGAAAGAAAAAAGATCTGACTAAAAGACTAAACCCAAGTGTTTATTTCTTTGTCTTTGCTTATGTGAAATGAATGGTGCACAGTAGTATGTAGTACATCTGTTGGTCAAACACCAGCTGCTTTTCAGTATTCTGCAATTGTAACTGGACAGGGAGCAGAATCAAATGTAAATCTTGAATTTTTATTTGCCTTTCTTTTCCTTGTGTTGGTATTATTGAGAGTTAACACTCTTGCCATCCAACACAGCATTCAGAAGGACTTAAATCTTTATGTAAAAACTAATGTGAGAAGGCCATTGATCTGTTAGAATTAATGCATTTTTATAGTGCTTTGCCAGGTTCTGCCAGGCATTGTCAGCTGTATCAGTTTGTCATGCTAGATGAAAATATGTTTGACTGCATTTTAGATTTTTGCTTATAAACAGCATCAGTTTTACTGCTAAAATAATTCAGTAGTTTTAAATGGTGATAGAGGGTAGCAATACATACCTTTGAGCATGATGGTTTTACTCCTAACTAACTCTTTAAGTAATGTATTTAGACTGTTTCACCAAGAATAAACACATTTATTGTTCAGATAAAAGCAGTTCTTTGGGTTTAGAGAAACGTCTTTAATTTAATTTTTTTGTTTCTTTGAAGGCAAACCAAAACAACTGGAGGACAAAATGGTGCAGAAACTACAAGAGGAGGTGCCTATGGAAGAAGACTCTTAAAGTGCTTTCATTTTCTATTTATATCTGTTCAGCAGTTAACAGTTCCCTACTGCCTCACCTGACATCATTCAGAACTGTGCTTACAGTTGAAGAAAAAGACATTTTAATGAATAGTGGTCATTTACCATTTGGATTATTTTTTGGTTTATAAAAAATAGTAAGTTGGATACTGGTTTGGGCAGTTCTTAAATTCGTGCAGTTTGAGAAAAGCTTGTCAAAGCTCATGCTCAATGGAGCGTGAGGCGTTACTGTTTGAGATACTGTGTGCTCCTTGGAAAGTTACACTTTTTCCAGGTGAATTTTCCCTCACAATTCAAGGAATAAAATATGCTGGCCCTGAACTTTTTTTGCTTTGTCTGTTGTTCTTTCATAGTGCTAAAGTCAGATAAAGTCAGATAATGGTTACAAGGTGGGGCATAATGTAGTATTTTTCATCAGTCCAGTGCAGTCCAGACTTACTTTCACTCTCGCCCTTGGGAAAATTTTTCTGTTTGTTAAGAATACATATAGTGTTTGTTTTTTCTCCTTTTTAAGTCCTTCCCCAGGATTCCATTGCAGTTGACACCTGGCAAAGCTAACATTGATACAGGACCTAGGTCTGGAAAATGCTAATGGTGATATCTGGAGTTGGACCTGCCATCATCCTAAGGAAATTCAAATCTAATGTGTAATGAGGCTGACTGAGATGTTCAGTAAATCGCACTTCAGACTGTTTTTACCTGACACTCAGGATCATTTTGATAGAAAAAATGCTGTTAAATCATAAATATTTTGCATATTGTGGTGGTGTTTATTCAATATGTCAGCAGCACTGAGATGAATAGTTGCTGTTTTAAACTGTCAGCAGTTTATCTGCAACAGTGTGATCAAAGAAAACTGTCAAAGGCATTTACAGCATTTGCTTTCTTGTCAGTGCTGGTTATCCTGAAAAACAGTAATTTGTCGTTCCACTGCAAACTTGGGTGTGTGCTACAGTAAGCACTGGCAAACCTCCTCGTACCTACCACCCACATGTGTTGTGTAGTTCAGAGGAGAGTCATATTTGAACATATGTAAGGGGGCTGTGGGGAGTGTGTGAAATAAACAGGCATTGCATTCAGTTTTTCTCTCTTGGTTTGTGTATTATGTTTAGATATTTAGAAAACGTTGATGTATTTTAGTGAGAATTCTAGTAATAAAGATTAACTCCTTATTTTAATGAAATTCAAATTCTGTCATTTGCTGTTAAGGTGATGGCTGATAACCATTTTAGATGTACAGTATTAGTACTTCCCCTGTAAACTGTAATATAAATAACATCTGAGAAGCATATGGTAAGTTGCCCAGAAAACATCTGTCAGTGGGGTGAAATCATTAAGATGATATAAATACAGTGTGTATGTGCTGTATGTACACCACGATGCTTGGGGAGAGTGAAGGGAGATCTTCACAGAATGTTAATTAGTATGTTTATGTGGGATTACACAAATTAACATTTCAGATCAAGAAACGTGAGTTTTTTTGCATGGCCTGTTTTACTATAGTATATGATGTCCATGATCCCTGAGGTGGCATACTTAATATGAAAATCTTATTACATATTATTTTTCTTATTTACTGAGGTTTAAATATAGGATGTTCAGTGAGTACCAAGTTTTAATTTTCTCCAAAAAGAGTAATGTAAATCTGTGCAAAGCAGAGAAAGGTGATGAACCCCATTGGATGTTATGTATTTGTGTACAATCTTTTACTTCATATGAGTTTAACATTAGATAATTTATATTACATAATATCTGTAGTTGTTCTGTCCACCTATCTTTAAACGGACTGCAATAATTAACTGGTTTGTTGTGCTCTGTAGGAGTGTCTCTGTGGGATTGTTAACCCTTTCCTGTGAAGGTTTGTAACTGAAGTAGTTACTGTTATTGTGCAGGAGTTGAGAAGAGCCATTTGGGGAGTACACTACAGCTGTAAATCCTAAACATCCTGCCAGTTGTCTGAGTTGCTTAATCCCTGTGCCTCATTACTGTCAGTGTAACAGTACAACTGCAAGCAAGGGCTTTGAAAGTTAATACTGAGTTGTCCCTCTGCAGATGTGCTGTTTCTCCAAGAAGCAGAGACTTGTAGCCTGCTGTGTGTACCTTGTGAGGGTGTAGGAGGTAGTTGAGTTCAAAAATCTGTCACGAGTAACACGTTTACAGCACCTGTTCAGAAGGTGCCCTTGTGATTTTTTTTAAATTTAATTTCATTGCTCTGGTATCCTGTTCTCTCTCGCAGTGATTTCTGCGTCAGCTGGAGCAGGAGGCTGCTGAGACATCACGTGGTGAGGGGGGAAGAGCTGCTGCTGAGGAACAACGTGGGGCTGGTGATCCTCCCTCCTGCACATCTCTGCATAACCCACTGCATGCAGAGACCTTCATGGGGGCCAGTTGAGCTACAGAGGAGTGTTTTTAATTTCTTTTAGGAGAGTGGCTGCCCATCCACATTTCTAATAGAAACTCTTGTTGTTCAAAGACATTTTGGTGAAGATCTATTTTCTTTGCTTGCTTGAGATGAAAATTTTCAACTAAGCCAAAGCTGACAGAAAATTTCTTTAAATTTTGGATTTTGTTTACAAGACTTTGAGGGAAAATGTCCAACTGGGCAGTATTCTGGTGGTCATGGAGAAATACTTCCAAATATCAGGAAGGGAACACACTCCTCTTTCCCCTTGAACAGCTCTTGGTCAGACAGTGGCTTGCTGGAGGAGTTTGGTGATGGGTAAAGGGGGAGCCCTCATCTGCCTCCTGTGTGTGGAGCTGAGTTGTGCCCAGTCCTTTGGAGAGGCAGGACCTGACATCTGTTTCCCCAACAGCAAGTTGGAGAGATGGGATTTTATGAGCAGCTTATTCATAAGAGATCCTGGGTTAGTGTCATGCATCCAAATCACTGATCCTGTCTGTGTTGAGATCTAGTAGGAGCAGAGCACAAGGTACCTCTGAGTACAGGCTTAAGAGAAAAATCATGATGATGATGTGGGAATATTTAATCAGAAAAATTATTTATTAATAACTGGTAGTGCTAAATTCCATTATACAGTCCATCTTCCTTGGCATTTACCAGATCTAACAAAGTTGCCATTTTGTGTTTGTACTCTGTGCCATCAGGAACCTGTCTTCAAAACAAACTATGATAGGCTTGATCAGAACAAATGTGATATTAAAAAACAGTTTTTAAGAAATGCTTTTTAGTTTCAGCTGCTGTCATCTTTTCTTACAAAACAAAACCAGATGTATGGATTTTTTTCAGTTGGTTTGGTTTTTTCTTTACAGACTGTGCAGAAGATGGAAATGTGGATTTTAATAGTGATTTAAAAAGTGATTTTTTTACTCGTATTTCCTCTTTTCCTTTTTTAATCTATCCCTTAGTGATTTCAAGTTAAATGCAGGCTTTGCTTTGAGGAAGAGGTGAACCTCGTGTTAACACGTTTTGGCTACTGCCTCCATTCCAGCCTCACTTCCTTGTGCCACAGGGCCCTGGGCAGGGGTTCCAGCTCTGCCCCGAGTCCCCAGCGGTGCCATTTCGATCTGCCATCGAGTTTCATTCTCTTTTTGGTGTGTGATTGTCACTGTGGCTGTTCCAAACCCGGCTGCTCAGGGGAGGTGTGTGGGGAGCCACTCCTGCCCCTCTTGGGAAGTCTGTGGCCCACTCTGGGTGACTCCGTCTTAGGGATATCATTTGCTGCAGGTTTTGTGGGATGCTGAGTTAGTGAGGAAGGGGAAGCACTGTCTGTTTGTGTGCTTTGACCTGTGATTCAGACGTGGGTCTGTCCACAGAGGTGAAGGAGCAGGTCCCAGCAAGCCCCTGGCAGGCAGGCTGTGTTCCTGAGGTAAAAGCCTCAAAGCTGCCCCTAAACAGCCTCTGCGCCTCATGGAGAGCTCAGGCCTCCTCTGCAGGCCTGCCCTTTTCCATGTTTTCATACAGAGCAAGGCCTGGAGATACTTTTTTTTTTTTGCCTTTTTGCCTTTGGACCTGGGTTGATTTTGCCATCCATTGCTTCTTTGATTTTCTGTGGAGTCTCATCTTTTCTTCTCAAAGTTTGATTCTGAGGGAATGACCAAAAAAATGAAGAGGTAGGTGATGGCGGGGTTTTGCTTTTGCTTGTTTTGTTTTTAAGAAAAAAAAGCGAATTCCTTCTCTCAGTCTTCCCTTTCAGACTTTCCTTTATGAGTACTGATACAGTGTGGAAAAAGTGAAAAACACAGCTTTCTGTATAATTAAACCATGCTGGACTGGTGCAGATTTTCTTCACGGGAAATTGGGCCTTCATACAGTTTTGAGAGAAGCTGCTTTTTAGTCAGAGATATTGCTGAGATATCCTTTCTCTGCAGAGTCCCAGCATGGTGGAGCCCAGCACACGTACGAGATCTGTCTGTGTGCCACACAAAGTATAAATCAGTTCCATGTGTGGACGTGGTCATAGGTGTCCATGGCTGGAAAAGCAATAGACAGCTGCTAATAGGTCCAAAGGTTTATGTCCCAGGAGAAGATATTTCAACCTCCAGGCTGTTCAATTCCTCAATTACTGTTCTGGCCTCAAAAATTCAATCTCCTTCACCAGCCTAACTTATTTATGGGTTGCACTGAATTGTGACCAGGGAGAGCAGAAGGCCGAAATAAATCAACCACTGATAAAATTGTTTAAGCCTGCTTGTTGTCTGTCTGTCTATTTTTAGATCTCAGTTTAAAAAGACCATATGCAGAGAAATGCCTAAGATTTGTTTTGTTTTAGTTGTATCACTAATAGTTACTCTTTGGTGATGTTTGCTTATTGTAATCGACTTGACCTGATTATAGCCACAGTGTTTTGAACAAGCAGAATTACTTGAGACTGGGTAAGAACAGAGGGAGAAATAAGGATTTGTGGAGGTAGCTGAGTTGGAAAACATTCTTTGCTGGTTTTGGGTTTGTTTGTGTGTCTCCCCCCTGACACCCCTCCCCCCAAATAAGATTTTTCATATTATAAATAGTTTGGTGAAGTCATTCTTGTTTCTTAAACAGCTGTTGCTTCACCTTTAAGAAGTACTTGGACTACATTTTTTTACACACATATACATGGCAATAAAGGTATAGACTGAGTAAAGGGGGATATCATCTCTAGCTCTACAAGCAGTGCAAATTTATTAGTGACGTTGTTTCAGTACAGGGAACAGACTCCTGAGTGGAAATAGATATGTTATTTATAAGGTGACAATATTGTGCATTCACAAACTATCACTTGGAATCAAAGCAGAGGTCTCTGCATAATTGGAAAAAAAAATCTTGTTTACAGGCATTTGAGCTGTGTTCTGTAAGGCTTCACTCTCCACTAAACTTGCTGATTAAGA